ACTCAGGCCTCCTGGCCGTTTCTCCCCCTTCAGCCCCACCGGCCGGGTAAAGGGGGGTTGTTTCAACTGCTTGGAAAAAAAGGGGGGGGGGTTCGCCCTCTTTCGCAAGGGGTTAAAGCTCGACATCAAGTTGCAGGTCCGCCGGAAGAAACCTCCGGGACAGTTCCTGGACAGGGTCAGGATCACGCCAGGACAGCTTGTAACCCTTTTCCAGGCCCCCCCCCCCCCCCCCCTCTCCCCCGTGCCGCAGGTCTGCTGGCACGTGTACGGCCTTCTCTACCGCTCCGACCGCGAGTACGCGCAGGTCAGCCACACTGCTTGAAAGGGAGTAGCCAGTCATGACCAGTACAGCCAGCCACTAGTGACTCAGGTACAGCTCGGAGCTGACTGTGCTTTAAAGAGTAGAGCCAGTCATGACTAGTACAGCTCGGAGCTGACTAGTACAGCCAGTCACCCGTGACTCAGTACAGCTCCGACAGATGCGCGCAGGCAGGCCATCCTGTCCTGGCAGCGAACAGCCCGCCTATGGCCATTCACGGAGGCCGCCCCTCGCAGGCCATCAAGTGCTACCGCGGCGCGCTGCGGCACGAGCCAGACAACGTCAAGATCCTACGCGACCTTTCGATGCTCCAGATCCAGCTCCGGCTCGCCTAGAAGTTGACTCTCTCCCCACATCTCCCCACATCTCCCCCCTCTCTCGGGCCCTAGAAGCGGGAATACGGGCTCATGTGCGCCAACTAGCGCTCGAGGGCGGACCTGTGTTCCGCTGTGCTCACCCGCATTCCGCTGTGTTCACTGTCTTCTGCCTCTAGGCTCCGGCTGCTGCCGGGCTTCCTCGAGACGCGCCAGAAGCTTCTCACGATGAAGCCGACCAACCGGATGCACTGGTGAGGAGTTGAGTAATGAATGAATGACTTCATTCATCAATGAAGCCGACCAACCGGATGCACTGGTCCATACCTCCCTCCCCATACCTCCCCACACCTCCCCGTACCTCCCCACACCTCCCCACACCTCCCCATACCTCCCCACACCTCCCCACACCTCCCCATACCTCCCCATACCTCCCCACACCTCCCCACATCTCCCCACACCTCCCCACACCTCCCCATACCTCCCCACACCTCCCCACACCTCCCCACACCTCCCCACACCTCCCCACACCTCCCCACATCTCCCCACACCTCCCCACACCTCCCCACACCTCCGACCAGCCGGAGGCACTGGTCCGCCTCTGCGGCGTCGTGCGCCTCGCCCTGCTCGCCTCTGTGACTCAGCACACGGACCAACACCTGATCAGGTTCACACCTTATCGGCGGCGCTGCCACCTGGTCGGCCAGGAGTTACTCAATTAAGTCAATCGACTGATCAGGTTCACGTTCGCGGTGGCGCTTCACCTTGTCGGCCGGTACGATGAGGCGGTGGGCGTGGTGGAGGCACGAGAGGGCGCGCGAGGGGCGGGCGGTCGATTTCTTTTTCGAGCGCGTGATTCTTGTCGACAGGCGTACGAGAGGACGCTGGAGGGGTCCGACGAGCCCTCCAAGGAGCGAGATAGGGGGAGATATAGGGAGATATAGGGAGATATAGGGATGACGAGCCCTCCAAGGAGCGAGATAGGGGGAGATATAGGGAGATATAGGGAGATATAGGGAGATATAGGGAGGACGAGCCCTCCAAGGAGCGAGATAGGGGGAGATATAGGGAGATATAGGGAGATAAAGGGAGGACGAGCCCTCCAAGGAGCGAGATAGGGGGAGATAGGGGGAGATGTAGGGAGATATAGGGAGGACGAGCCCTCCAAGGAGCGAGATAGGGGGAGATGTAGGGAGATATAGGGAGATGTAGGGAGATAAAGGGAGGACGAGCCCTCCAAGGAGCGAGATAGGGGGAGATATAGGGAGATATAGGGAGATCAAGGGAGGACGAGCCCTCCAAGGAGCAGCGCGAGCACGGCGAGGCGGTGAGCCGAGTCACCCGGAGGAGACAGACCTGACCGCGGACCGAGCTGTGGTCCCTAGGAGCCGTACGAGTACAGCGAGATGCTGCTGTACAAGAACACGCTCTACGAGGAGGCGGGGCAGCCGCAGAAGGCGCGCCGCCCCAGTAGCGGATTGCGCGCTCTTCTCCTCCAGCCAGCGCTCGAGAGGGCCAGCTACTCCGCTGCATGCACCGTTCTTGCGTCGCTCGGTTCACACGCACTACTGCTCGCGATTTGATGCCCCCGATCTCCCCCGATCTCCCCAGATCTCCCCACCTCTCCCCACCTCTCCCCGACTCTCCCCATCTCTCCCCATCTCTCCCCATCTCTCCCCATCTCTCCCCATCTCTCCCCAAGCTCTGCCCAAGCTCTCCCCAAACTCTCCCAAGCTCTCCCCAAACTCTCCCAAACTCTCCCAAACTCTCCCCACCTCTCCCCAGATCTCCCAAACTCTCCCCAAACTCTCCCCACCTCTGCCCACCTCTCCCCAACTCTGCCCACCTCTGCCCGACTCTCGCGCAAGGCGCTCGACGACCTCGACGCAATCAAAGAGAAGGTAGCGGACCGCACCGGCTGGCGCGAGCGGCGCGCCGCGCTGCTTCTCGCCGTCGGCCGGCACGGCGAGGCGGGCGAGGAGTACCTCGCGCTGCTGAAGCGCAACCCGGAGCACTTCGGGTGGCACGCGGGGCTGCAGGCGGCAGCCCACCCACTAGTCCACCCACCAGGTAGTGCTCTCCTCCCCGGCGGCTCCGCTGGCAGGAGGAGGAGGGGTCCTCCTCGCCCTTGCGCCTGAGCCTGGTCGCGAGCAGCTTGGCGCAGTCTATCTTCTCGCTCTCTGATTCGCTTGAGCCCCTCCTTATCACGCCCCTTCCCACCGCTCGCTCAATGTCGTCTCTGATGTCCCATCGCCTCCTCTCCTATCGTCGACTTCCTCACCCCATTTCGAACCTCCACCAGGCCGCCACGCTGCAGAGCGGCGACCCCGACCGAGCGGTCGTTGCCAGTTGACAGGAGATGCGATCTCGTCCTCAGGCGGCCGAGCTGCAGACGGCGACCCCGACCGAGCGGTGGCTGAGCGCGGAGGTGACGGCGGAGGCGGAGGCGACGCTGGCCGCGCTGTACAGCAAGCTGCAAAAGGCCTACCCGAAGAGCCAGGCGTGCATGCGGCTGCCGCCAGTGTGTGTCCACCTCCAGAGAGTCTTGACTCCGAGTGTGAAGAGGGTAGGCGTGCATGCGGCTGCCTCTCGACTTCACGCGCTCGCCGCCCGCCTTCGCCGCCGCCCTGGACGCGTACGCGCGCAGCTACGTGCGCAAGGGCGTGCCGTCGCTGTTCGCAGACCTGAAGCCGCTCTGCGCCGAGGGCGCGTGGTCGCGTGTGCTCTTCGGCGAGGTCGTGGCGGGGTGGGTGGGCGCGCTGGAGGCGACGGGCGCCTTCCCGGACACTTGCGAGAAGGAGCCCCCGTCGACGCTGATGTGGGCGCGCGTGCTGCTGGCGCAGTACTACGACAGCTGCGGCGACACTGCGGCGGCGCTGTCGCAGCTGGACATGGCGATCGGCCACACGCCAACCTGCCTCGACCTCTACCTCTTCAAGGCAAGATGCGCCCGAGATCGAGCCGAGATCGCGCCGAGATCGCGCCGAGATCGCGCCGAGAACGAGCCGAGATCGCGCCGAGATCGAGCCGAGATCGCGCCGAGATCGCGCCGAGATCGCGCCGAGATCGAGCCGAGACCGCGCCGAGATCGAGCCGAGATCGAGCCGAGATCGAGCCGAGATCGAGCCGAGATCGCGCCGAGAGCAGACCTGCCTCGACCTCCTCCCTGCCCGCTCCCAGGCGCGCGTGTACAAGCACGCCGGCCACGCCTCCGCCGCTGCTCGTTGGATGGAGGAGGCGCGCAAGATGGACCTCGCCGACCGGTACCTCAACACCAAGGCGACTTCATTAACATTAATTAAAACGAAGTAGTTCCTTAATGAATGCCCTCGCCGACCGGTACCTCAACACCAAGGCGACTGCATTAAAGTTAATTAAACCTAAGTAGTTCCTTAATGAATGGCCTCGCCGACCGGTACCTCAACACCAAGGCGACTTAATTAACAGTAATTAAATTCTTTAAGTAATTAATGAATTAATGACCTCGCCGACCGGTACCTCAACACCAAAGGCGACGCGCTACCTGCTGCGCGCGGACTGCGTCCCCGAGGCGGAGGCGACGACCGCCCTTCCCGACGCAGGGTTTCGTGTCACACCGCGCCGCGGCAGGCCGTCCTCCTTGTCCACAGGCGACGATCGCCCTCTTCACCAAGGACGGCGGCTCGACCCTCCACGAGATGCAGTGCGTCTGTTAATTCAGTAATTAATTAAGTAGTTAATTAATTAATGACCCTGCACGAGATGCAGTGCGTCTGTTAATTCAGTAATTAATTAATTAATTAATGACCCTCCACGAGATGCAGTGCGTCTGGTTTGAGCTCGAGGCTGGCGGCGTCGTCCCGTGCCTTGAGGGACTCCTCTTGTCTTAGGTGCGTCTGGTTTGAGCTCGAGCTGGCGGCGTCCTACCTGCGCACGGGCGACTACGGCCGCGCGCTCAAGAACTTCGCGCACGTGGAGCAGCACTTTGCAGACATTGGCGAGGACCAGTTCGACTTCCACACCTACTGCGTGCGCAAGATGACCCTCCGCGAGTCCGTCGAGAGCACCCCCTCGCCAGCTGGCCGCCGTGAGGAGCGCCTCTTCACACCTGCAGCTGTGAACAGGTGCGGGGCCGGGTCCTCCGCGACAGCTGTGAACAGCGTCTCCTCACACGCGCAGCTGTGAACAGGTACGTCAAGATGGTCCGCTTCGAGGACACGCTGCACGGCCACGCCTTCTACGTGACCGCCGCGTGCGGCATCATCGACACCTACCTCCGCACCCGCGACTGTTGGGCAGCTGTTCACACGCGCAGCTGTGAACAGGCATCGTCGACACCTACCTCCGCACCCGCGACTGTTGGGCAGCTGTTCACACGCGCAGCTGTGAACAGGCATCGTCGACACCTACCTCCGCATCGTGGCGAAGCCGGCGCGCGACGCGGCGGCCGCCGCCGCGGAGGAAGCCGGCGGCGGGCTGAGCGTGCAGGAGCGTGCAGAAGAGCTCGCGCCAGCTCGGGCAATCTCGGGTCATCTCGGGCCATCTCGGGCCATCTCGGGCCATCTCGGGCCATCTCGGGCCATCTCGGGCCATCTCGGGTGATCTCAGCGTGCAGAGCGGAAGAAGGCCGAGGTGACTGACAAGTGGCAGTCCGTCAGTGGTTCGCTTCTCCGCTCGTGCAGGAGCGGAAGAAGGCCGAGTCCAAGCGGCGCAAGGCGGAGGCAAAGGCGAAGGCGGAGGCGGAGGCGCAGGCGAAGCGCGACGCGGACGCCAAGGGCAAGGACGGCAAGGGCGGCAAGAAGGGGGGCGGCAAGGAGAAGCCGCCCGACGACGACCCCTACGGCGAGGCGCTCGCGTCGGTCGAGGCGCCGCTGGCCAAGGCGCGGGCTGGGGGCGCGGTCCCGCTGCTGCCCCACGCGCCGGCAGTGGACCCGTGGATGCATGCATGGACTAGGCGGCGGGCTACATGCGGACGCTGCTGCTCCACGCGCCGGCGGAGCTGCGCGTGCAGGTGCTCGCCTGTCAGCTGGCCATGTGACCTCTTAGTTCTCGTTCAGAAATGAGTGAGCGAATTCAGAGCTGCGCGTGCAGGTGCTCGCCTGTCAGCTGGCCATGGCGCGCTCAAAGCCGCTGCTCGCGTTGCGCGCGCTGCGAAAGGCGCTCATTGGGGGGCGGCCGGGGGGGGCGGGGGGGAGTCTGACGTTTCCCTGACGTTTCCTTCCGTGAGATGCGGCCGCTTCAAGAGTGCACCGAGGTGGTCGATGAGAGGAGGGGGGGGGACCTAGAGTGGAGGTGAGTCTGCCCGACTGCTGCGACAGGCGCTCTCGCTCGGCGCCGCGGACGCGCAGGTGCACCGCAGCGCCGCCCGCTTCCTCCACCTGTACCGCGCGGGCGGCGCGGCGCTGGCGCCTGCGGTAGCGACGGTGGTGGAGCGGCACAGCGCGCAGATTCTGGCGGCGGCGGGACTGCCGACCGGGGCGACGGCCGAGGCGTACAACGACGCCTTCCTCGCGCGCGCGGGGGGCGGCGCGGCTGCGGCGGCAGTCGCCCACGCCGAGGTGCGCGCGCTCGTCGCCCCCGCGCAGGCGGCCGCGGCTCGCGAGGCGCTGGCGAGTCTCGACCTGCAGCAGGCTTCCTAGCCCTGGCCCTAGCCCTAGCCCTAGCCCTGGCCCTAGCCCTGGCCCTAGCCCTAGCCCTGGCCCTGGCCCTAGCCCTAGCCCTGGCCCTAGCCCTAGCCCTGGCCCTGGCCCTGGCCCTAGCCCTGGCCCTGGCCCTGGCCCTGGCCCTAGCCCTGGCCCTAGCCCTGGCCCTAGCCCTGGCCCTAGCCCTGGCCCTAGCCCTGGCCCTAGCCCTAGCCCTAGCCCTAGCCCTGGCCCTAGCCCTAGCCCTAGCCCTAGCCCTGGCCCTAGCCCTAGCCCTAGCCCTAGCCCTAGCCCTAGCCCTGGCCCTAGCCCTGGCCCTGGCCCTAGCCCTGGCCCTAGCCCTGGCCCTGGCCCTGACTCGATCCCCGACCTCCAGCAGGCCAGCCTAGCGGTGTGCAAGGAGGCCCTCGCCCTCCTCGAGCCCGGAGGCGCGCTCGCGGACGCCGCTGCCGCCGCCGCCTTCCGACAAAAGGCGGTGGCGCGGTTCCCGCACGCGCCGGCCTTCGGCGGCGGCAGCGGCGACGAGCCTCCCCCGCCGCCGAGCGGAGAGTGAGCGCGCGGCGGGCGGGAGGGGAGCGTTGGGGGGGGGATGCGGAGCCGGCCGATCGGAGTGGTCGTTCTCTCTGACGACATTCGGCGCGCCCGCCTGGCCCCTGCTCCCCTCCTGCGCCCGTCCATCCCCCGGCGGCTCCGGCCGACACCGCGCCGAGGCCGTGGCGCCGCTGTCGCCACCGGGCCGGGGGACCGGGCCCCTCGCATGACGCTTCTCTTACCGTCCTGGCACGCCACTACACCGGGACCGGGGTTTACGGCGACCTCTCGTCCCTCTCCATCTCTTTTCTCACCCGTCCGCTCTCTGCAGAGATCAGCGGTGTGTGTGGCGATCCCATCGCCCTCGCAAAGAGAAGATAATACAGACGTGCTGTTTTTTTCTCGTGCAGTTAGGGTCACACGCCTCTGCTCTATACCTAATAAACAAGGGCGCAGGGCGGGGCACACCCGGAAAGTGAGAAACGCCGGGCAGCGTGGTGCACAACGAAACCTCCCATACGCGTTTGTCTCCTCCTTTCTTCGGGCTGTTCCATCTCCTCGTCTCTTTCCCACCTAGGCGGGGCGGGGGTCGGGGGGGCGGCGGGCGCGGGGTGCGAGGTGCGGCGTGCGGTGCGTGCAATCGTGTGTTTGGCGTCATGTTGTGTGTGCCGTCGCTTGTTATTAACATCGAAGTCTAGCTCATAAATAAATAAACAAAGAACTAGACAAATACCAAATTCCAAATCGCAAGCATACGTTAGAAACCCAAATCAGGCGGCGACGTGGCATACGAGCTCGTAATAAAAAAAGTACTGTGAGATGGGTAAAAATAAATAAAACGGTCAAACTCTGAGACGAGATGGGATTTAGGGACATGTACATGTGTCCCCGCCCGCTCCCACCCGCTCCCCCCGCTACGCGGCAGGGCCCCTGGCCCTGCCGGCCCCTGTGCCGCCCCGCACGTCTTTGGTAATAACATGAAACAAAAACGGACACCTCTCTACTGTGAGATGGGTAAAAAGGAGCAGGTCCCCGCCCGTGCGATCTTTGTGCAGGGTTCTTTGTGGGTGTGGTCGGCGACTACCCGGGGTCGTCCTCCCGATGGGGGACTAGCACTAGCCGTCTTCCACATGGTCCCTCGGGTCCCTGCTGCTCCTAATCTCTTCGTACATCCTCCTGCTGATCTCCGCAACATCCTGCTCCCTCCCTCGTCTCGCCCTGCGCGTCTGCTCCGCCTCACCGTCTTCTGCCCTGCGTCGTCTGGCGACGGGGGTCCTCCATAGTCGGTCGAGGTCGCCGCCCTCCTCGTGCCTCTTCCCAACGTTCCCTCGGCGGCCGATGCCGTCTGCTCCGGCTCCCCAGTCCCCGGGTCTGCCCTGCTCTCGTCTGCGCTAGTTTCTGCTTCGTCACCACCGGCGTCTCTCCGCTTCCTTCTCCCCTTCTTGTATGCTTTGCACATCGCGTCGATTCCTTTTCGTGTGAGCACCAGCCTGAAGCCCGCCCAGCAGCTGAACCGCTCCCTAAGTCGAAGGAGCATCATCAGTCTCACCCACTTCGCTCGCTGTACCCACCGTCTCCGCTCCCTCCCGCTTGAGCCGCCGTCGCGGCCCTCGTTCGTCCCACTGGCAGCTGGCCTGTCTCTGCACGCGCATCCTTCCTGTGCTGCTCGCTCGCCAACTAACTCTCTAATCGGTTACTGGACCGTCACGTCTTCGACCCGTCGAACAACGTTCGACCATGGCACTGTTCACAGCGCGCGCGGACGGCGGCTCTGCGCGTTCCGCTCAGCAGGACTTTTGTAAAGCGTGCTTGTGTCAGGTTACAGACGCTAGTATCGACCTCAGATACCCAAACCCGAATAATTAAGGGTCAAACCATGGTCGAACATCCGTCGAACACAGGTCGAACAACGAAAAGAGACTAGTGCGACCGCTAGACGACGGTCTCCGCCGGCCCCGAGGCTGCCCAGCCCCAGTACCACACCGGCCACATGCACCGTGGCGCTGCAGTCGGTCAGTGAGGCACTAGACGGGCTACGGAACCATGCGCGCGCCGGGCTCGTGCGCCGCCTCGATTTTGCATCTCTCCGCTCCGCGGCCGACTGAGGGGCCAGCTCGCCCGGCGACAAGCCCAGCCATCGCCCAGCGCCCCGTACCGACGGGGGCCACGCAAAAAAACCGCACCTACGACTAGGCTGAGCACGTGAGGGGGGGCGTCGGTGTCGGCCGCGGGTGGGCTGCGAGGTCCGAGGAGGGCGCGGGTGGGAGCATGGGAGATGCACCACCGCTCGACGAAGACGCGCCCGACGAAGCCCCGCTGGCGTAGGATGGTCGATCCTCACCTAATAGCGTCGAGCATGTGCGAAAAAGAGCGCAAATCGGAGCTCAACTCGCGCGCGGCGGGAAAGAGGTGTGGCGAGGAGCTGCTGCACTGCCCCCAAACGCGCTCGGGCAGCACGTCGGCGCGCCTGCGGGGTGAGTGGAGGTGAAACTAGGCTTGCTGGCACGCACATCCCGCACCACCCCCGCGCCCGCGCGCACCATGCCGCCGTCCCACCTCACAGCCAAGCGCGATCGCCGACGCACGCAGCGACGCCGAGCGGTGGCCTCGCAGACGACGAGCGCGATGAGGCCGCCGCGCCGCCGAGGTGGCCGGCGCGTGCCAGCCGCTGGCCCGTCCAGCGTGGCGGGACCGGCTCGCCTATCCGCTTTTTTGGCAGCCTCGCGATAATCACATTTTGAGACCCTGGGAAGCTCCTCTTTTGAGGGAGTCCGTCGCTGAGGCGCCGTCGCTCGGCGGGCCGCCGGTATCTTTTCGAATGCGATCTCGGGCGGGAGCCCTGGAGAGCCCG